TCTTTTCCCCAGGCGGCAGGGTGGGTCTTACACTCCTCCTCCCACAGGAGTGGTGCAAAGGCCAGCAGTGGGGCACAGCACACAATGTGGCACGAAGTCAGCCCCTGCCCCTTCACCTGTCCTCCATAGACAGGTGAGGTGCCAAGCAGGGAAGGAGAATGAGGGCCAGACTGGGCCCACCCCTTGACAGTGAGAGGGAAGGAGAGAAGCGAGCTCCCTGCTGGCCCTATAACCAGCTCTTCCACTACAGATCTCAAGACCATGCCTGGGTTCACAGGTAGCATCAGGAACTGACCCACAATCTTGTGCCTGCAGACTATTCTACCCTTACTAATCACGGATCAGGAAGACCAAAGGATTGGAATCCAGTTTGTGTGTGCTTGTGCGATGAAAGAGAAACCTTCAAGGACCACGTTAAAAGAAACACATGAGAAGGTGCCAAGCACAGAGCAAAACTTCCAAAATCTTCTCCCATCTTAGACTGAGGCTTTTTACTCCACACAACATTCTCAAAACTTGGGGCGGGGAAACCTTCAAAAACATCCTTTCATGGAAGTCAAGAAACTGCAAGAGAAGATCTGCCGCGCGTGCCAGTGCTTTGGTGTGCTTAAGTGGTTCTTTGGATCTCTCATAAATGGGAATGAAAGATAAGAGAACTGTAAAACTCAGCTCCAACGAAAGAGTCTTATTTTACTGTTGAACAATTAGAATTCCAGACCTGTGTGAACACAGAAACAAAGCCAGAGTGTGCTATAGCAACCTAGAGACTTAGGAGATGACTGTACGGCTAACAGTGCAATCTCATGCAGGGTTACTCCAGTCTAAACCTATTGATTTCAGTGGGCTTAGACTGAAATAACTATGCACAGGATTGCACTGTAAAACTAATGAAATCCGATAATGATCCATGTTTACTCAGAGGCAAATCCTTTGCAATCGAGTAATCTCTGCTCCACAAAACATACACATAGGATTTAATCCTTCATTTATTTTAAAACTAAATTCATCAATCAAGATCCCATTGATCAGCTATGAAGGTATCCCTTAAACTGGCCAGTCTGTTTTCTTAAAGTTGATTTTAACACTACTTATAAAACCGTCAGTGTCGGGTGCTACTTTAGAAGAGCCATTCTCCCCTTTTTTCCTCCATTGCTTCTAAGATGGCACCTGTCAGCTCATGCCTTGCATTACCTATAGGTTGTTTTAAAAAAAAATTAAAAAAAAGAACTGTAGGTCTTGTTCTGAGATATGTAAGTTTAGCTGATCAAAGCACTATTAATTTGTTAGGAAATTCGTTAATTGGGAGACAGCCCTAGGTCATTGGAGCAAAAGTTTTCAGAAGAAAGAAGAAGAGGAGGAGGAGATTGGATTTATACCCCGCCCTTCACTACCCAAAGGTGTCTCAGAGCGGCTTACAAACTCCTTTCCCTTCCCCTCCCCACAACAGACACCCTGTGAGGTAGGTGGGGCTGAGAGAACTCTTGACAGAAACTGCTCTTTTTCAAGAACAGCTGTGCCAGAGTTATGGCTTGCCAGCCAGGTGCAAGTGCAGGAGTGGGGAATCAAACCCGGTTCTCCCAGATTAGAGTCTGCGTGCTTAACCACTACGCCAAACTGGCTCACTATCCTGGGATAGGAAAGAGCCTATCCTGACATATGTATGAAGTGCCAGAAAGCGCAAGTCTTACTGTGCACTCTGATCAAAGGAATAGCAGAAGGGAAAGCACCCGCCACGGTTCTTATGGCTACTGCAGAAAGACCAGACCAAACTGGGTGGGAGACATAGGTAGCTTTACAGGCACAAACCCCTGCTTGAGATATCATTTCTTCTGAGCGCAGCGGACACTTCATATGTTCAGTATAGCAGACCCTCATTTGGAAAAAAAAATCAATTCTGTGCGAGGTTTCAGGTTGCTGATTGGGGACCCAATGGAATGAAAGGTGGTGGAGAATACACCATTTTAACAGGGTGAGAACACCAAGAGACACCAATGCAAGAGACAGTCTCTCAGTCCTAAAGCCATCCAACACCTGGACTTCCACACTTAGAACTAGCCATACCGATCCCTGAGGCCGCCCAAGTATGCTGTCACACAGCTGCAAGTAAATTTGCCTGTGCAAGTACTCAGAACAGAAGAACTGCAATTCACCAACCAGGTACCCCGAAGTAATCCCATCAAATGCATCACAGTTTGTAGGATTACGCACAAGTGTACCTTTTCTGCAGTGCTAAACCTCTATTAATAGCATCTGGCTGCATCCTAAAACACATCTACTAGGGAGTAAGTCCTACTGAACCAGGTGTGATTTACTCCTAAGTAAGCAGGTTTCAGAATGCCTTCTTTCATGAATAGTTCTATTCAGAGAAAGCCCCAATCTTTTATTCCATTTCAGTCTGCACCAGTCACGTAGGCAAGAATATTATTTTCATAGAATCTGAGATTAAGCAAAATGTCAGCTCTAAGAAAGTCCTAGCACCTGTTCATCCCAGAAATCAAAAGATCTGACAACAAGTCCCTACAACATTTTGAATTAGTTTTTTATATTGCTCCTAAAAATGTAATACAATCAACCAAGCAAATTGAAAAGGCTTGCAGTCCTGTGCGTTCCCTTTATTATGCGATTGCTACAACTCCACTGGTTAGCACCACAGTACAGTATTTCTAGATCTGCTCCATCATCAGTGATGAGAATATGGAGAGTGGCAAATCGGAAAGCCCAACATGCTAAAAATATATACTTTTTTGTTAAAAGAAAATAAGAGGGCAGATACATTCCATGGCATTCTTGCTTCTTCCCCCCCCCCACTGTAGCCAAGTGAAAAATTGATGGATGATTGCATGCCACTGTTGCCTATACCTGAAATGTCATTCCCACAGCGCAAGGACTTCAGAGGCGTCAGCCCTGCTTCTCTGTACAGTGCCTCTTTGTTACCACCAATGGCTCCATCATCTAATGCAACTCATATGCAATGGAACAGAATTGGGGGGGGGGGCTTTGCTTGACAATGACAGCTTCTGTTTTCTCAATTGCAAATAAAGTGTAAAACTTTCAAAGTTCTTATCACCTATTTCTAAGCAATCCTGTTATATATGTCTAAGTGACACATGGTAAGCCACACATTTACAGGCAACCTGATCAGATAACTCCCCAACTGACAAAGAGAAGTACATCGACATAAGACGCCTTTGCACATTTACTTGAGAGTAAAAGCCCATTCAATTCATCAGACTACTTCCAAGCAAAGATTTATAGGATTGGTTATATATCTGATTTCCTCAGCATCAGTGGAATCCTAACCAGCTATGCCCCTCTAAGTCTGTTGAAGTCAATGGCCTTAGAAGGGTGTAACTCTGTTTAGGATTGTGCTGTATGTGGACAATCTATGCACACTGACTCAGAAGTAAATCCTACAGTGAATTCAATAAGATTTACTCCCAAGAAAGCGTGCACAGGTTATAGCCTCTGTCACGCTGCATGTATCCTGTGAAAGACCATGCGCTATCCCCAGTTTATGTGGCTTGCAACATTATTCACCACTGTGTTTCAGATCTGACTGTTTCTCCTCTAAAATAAAAGAGAGGTATAAATACTAAGCAACTCATTGGAGTCAGGGACCAAATTCAATGGAAAGCTTTCAGCCTCTACGGAAACAAACAATGCCCAAAGGCTTAGCAATCATTTTACTAGGCTGACATTCAATTTAGAACTTTGTAATGGGGAGATTTCAGAAAAAGCACTTCCTTAAAAACCAAAAGAAAAGAAAATTTGAGACCATTACACAGCATTAACTCAAAAAGCAGACACTTCCCTCCAAAAGGATACCATGAAGTACACCACCCTACTCCAGTAGTGTCTATAATAACACTGAATAACATTTATTATAAAGTACCTGTCTATTTTTAAGGTACAACAACAATACATCCAGCTTTTCGTTTTTAAAAATGAGATTCCCGGTTGAACCCCAAATTGTATTTTTTAGCCTTAAGAGCTTGTATTTGTGAAGTTCTAACCATCTTTTAAGGCTCCCCCCAGGATTGTCCTACCACGTGAATCGGGGGTTATACAGAATGACAATAGGTGAAACCCTGATTAAACGGATTTGTTTTCTTTTAGTGATCTTGCATTTAATCAAAATCGCCATGAGGAAAATCGATCCAATTCGGAATATCGGGGGGAGAGGTGTAACAATGTACCCCGGTATCTAGCAACAGGGGGAAGACATAATGAATGCTCAGTGTCGAAGCGTGGGAAAAGGATTCGTTAAAGCTCCTTTATGAAACTGGGGAAGATTTAAAAAGAAAAAAAAAATAACCCAAGAAGTGATTTCATTGTTTTTTTCTGGAACATCTGGCATCAAAGACCAAAAAAAATTGTGCAAACCCCCCCCCCGAGGTATTATAACGCCGCAACTCATTAGGGAAAGCAAAAATAAAATGATACACATATTTTTAAAGATTTGGGTGCGAAGCTGTCCACTTCTCCCCCTTCCCTCTGAAGCTACGCTACTGCAGAAGTAACTGAGGGGCGCTTACCTGCCTCCCAAGCCCCGCGGAAGAGTGATGCTGGAAATGCAGATGTTGCAGATGTGACTCGCTGCACCCCCTACTTAGCTCCACAATGGGACTGCTCCTTCTGCCGGCGCTGTTAAAAGAAACAGCAGCGAGCTCGAGCACCGCCTCAGGGATTGTTTCTGTTGCGTCTTCCAGCGCCTGGAATACTTTCTCCCCCCGCCCACCCTCTCCTCCTCATTTGGGCATCGCCACGCCCCCTTCTCCCACAGCGCGTTCTGATTGGGCTGATCCCCCCCACCACTCACTCCCCCCGCCTGCTTCTCCCGCTCTCCGGTCCCTCCCCTCCCCTCCCGCTCCCCTCGCTCTACGTCGCTCCATCACGCAATCCTTGATGGGGGTTGTAGTTTTTCCGAAAAGCGGACTACACGTCCCATGGGCCCGCGCGGTCGCCGGCTAGTTCCGGACAACGCCTGGTGTGTGGTAACGGCGGTGGCAGCGGCGGAGAGGGTGGCGAGGACGCTTCCTTTTCGGAGGGCACTTCCGGCAGCGGCGACGGCGGACGAGCCCGCTCGGGAGCCCCGAAGGCTTCCAGGGGCGGGGGGGCAGGCAGGGAGGGGGAAGGTAAGGTGATGGCGGCGGCGGCGCGTCGGGCAGGGTCGCCCGGGTAATGGCCGCAGGGGTCACCAGTCAATTGGCGTAGGGGCCTAGGCGCGCCGCCGGCCCTGCGCCGCCCCGGAGGCGCAAAAGGGTTCCGAGAATCGGGCGGCTGTGGACGGGGCCGAGAAGGGCCTGGCGCCTCAGGCGGACGCCGCCCAGGAGCAGCGCCTCCGCGGCGACCTGGTTGCCCCCCGTGGCCTTGAGGGGGAAGGGCCTCCGCCTCTCCGGACCGCGGGGTGTGGAGGGGGAATGGCTGTGGGGGGCAGCCCCAAGAGGAGGTGTGAGGAGGCCGTGGAGAGGGATCCCTTCCTTCCTTCTTTCCAACCCCGCCGCCACCGCCGCGTGGAGTCAAGTGTGTGTGTGGGGGGGGGGGGGGTTAGCTTAACATAACCTCGACCTTTCACATTTCTGTCCCGCCGTTCTTCCAAGGGGGGGGGGACTGACTTGCATGGCTCTATCCCCTTCTCGCTCTGACAGCACCCTCAGCCAGGTTACAGCTGAAAGAAGGTACAGGCCTCAGGTTACTCTCTTGAGCTCCATGGCCAGGAGTGGGATTTCCCCACTGAGTCCTAGTCCAGCGAGCTCCTGGACCATAACACTGGCTCACAAAAGCGTTCCTTTGACAGGGGGAAAGATGGGGGTGGGTGCGAGACCAGGAATGAGTGGTGTCGAAGGGTTGTGTTCCTGGGTTGGGGTGGGTTCCATGCGGGTCGCTGTGTGTTCTGGCAGAATTAAGCAGAAGCCCGCTGGCACCTTAAAGGCTAACGAAGCTTACTCGTATGTAAGTTCTGACTCAATGCTTATGCAGGGATATATCGTGTTAGGCTTTAAGGTGCCACTGGGCTCCTGTTCAATTTGGATTGGGTGGAGGAAGCTTATCCCTGTTGGAATAAGCTGGGTGTATTTCTCCTGCCTGAACAATAGGAAAGGATGAGGCTCGAGTCAGGCCTTGTCTGCACGGATGAAACATAACTCTTCCTGACCACAAATGATAATGTTGATGGGTTCTAGGAGGTGGTGGGAAATCCCTGTCCACAGAAAGCTAGCATGTCAGGGAGGTGACTAAACTTCAGTCTTTCTCCTTGCGTCTAGGTTTCTATGAACACGGAATTCTTATAATAAAGGGAACGTGTTCCCTCGTGTGGTTCCCATCCTGCAGGTTGTAGTGGTAGCAGCCAGGAAGTCTTTTTCCACCTCATCCACTGTTTGTGTAGACTGTGTCTTGGAGGGCACACTGAGGGTTGGTAGGTGTGCTTGTGGAGAAGAGGAGGTGGGTTAATAAATAAAATGCAGACACAAATTTTAGGAGAGCATGGGGTGAAGAGGATATCAGTACCACTGTCTTAGGTAGGCTGTTGCTGTGATCCACCATAAAGGATCTTATAATCCTATAAGTGGAAGGGTTTGCGGAAAGAGAGAGGGAGACAGGTGAACAGGATGGGGATAAGAGGAGAAAAGGTACTGATTAATTATTCTGTTGAATTGGTTGTGATATCCTTATTGTGAGCCAGAAGCACTACATAGCAGTTGGTGAGATGGGGTCAAGAAGGACAGTGTGGAACTAATAATCATAGAGCAGATTTTAGTGGCTTAAAACAGGCTGCCGATACTGATGCCAAACAAGAGCAAAATTCTGTTGGTGAGTCTCATTAGCCCATAAATAAGATGTTTTGAGACTTTGAGAAGAGGAGATAAGGGCTTCAGTGTTTCTGGCAAGTGAAGAGGAGGAAGTTTATCTTTTCTTTCTCATCATGCGAATGTGCTGAACAGTTCAAGTGACCTCGGACTATAGCTTGTCTTCAGGAAAAGTAACTTTACTGCATAATTTCAAATTTTCATTGATATAGGAGATACCCCTTCAATATATTGCTAAGTATGGAAGATAACTTGTCAGAAGATGAACACTTTGGTCATGACTATCCAGTTTCTGTGACCAGTTGACAGTATCCTAGATTCAGCTCTTCGTAGTAGGCATGGGTAAAGTTCCCACTGAATAGCATAGGTGTGGGATTGATTCTTAAGAACATAAGAACATAAGAGACGCCAATGTTGGATCAGGCCAAAGGCCCATCCAGTCCAACACTCTGTGTCACACAGTGGCCAGAAATACCAGTGCCATCAGGAGGTCCAGCAGTGGGGCCAGGACATTAGAAGCCCTCCCACTGTTGACCCCCCCCCCAGCACCAAGAAGACAGAGCATCACTTGCCCCAGAGCCCCTAGCTATACCTTGTGGCTAATAGCCACTGATGGACCTCTGCTCCATATGCTTATCTAATTCCCTCTTGAAGCCGTCCATGCTTGTAGCACCCACCACTTCCTGTGGCAGTGAATTCCATGTGTTAATCACTCTTTGGGTGAAGAAGTACTTCCTTTTATCCGTTCTAACCCGACCGCTCTGCAGTTTCATGGAGTGCCCACGAGTTCTTGTATTGTGAGAAAGGGAGAAAAGTACCTCTTTCTTTACCTGCTCTTTCCCATGCATAATCTTATAAACCTCGATCATGTCACCCCTCAGTCGTCTTTTCTCCAAGCTAAAGAGCCCTAAGCGCTTTAACCTTTCCTCATAGGGAAAGTGTTCCAACCCTTTTATCATTCGAGTTGCCCTTTTCTGCACTTTTTCCAAAGCTATAATATCCTTTTTAAGGTGTGGTGCCCAGAACTGCACACAGTATTCCAAATGAGGTCTCACCATTGATTTATATAGGGGCATTATTATATTGGCTGATCTGTTTTCAATACCCTTCCTAATAATCCCCAGCATAGCATTGGCCTTCTTTATTGCAGTCACACACTGTCTCGACATTTTCAGTGAGTTATCCACTACAACTCCAAGATCTCTCTCTTGCTCAGTCTCTGCCAGTTCAGACCCCATCAATGTGTATTTATATTTAGGATTTTTGGCTCCAATGTGCATCACCTTGCACTTGGCCACATTGAACCCCATTTGCCATGTTGACGCCCACTCGCCCATCCTTGACAGATCCCCTTGGAGTGCCTCACAATCCTCACTGGTTTTCACCACCCTGAACAACTTTGTATCATCCGCAAATTTAGCCACTTCACTGCTTACTCCCATCTCCAAATCATTAATGAACAAGTTAAAAAGCAGTGGACCAAGTACTGATCCCTGCGGTACCCCACTGCTTACCACCCTCCACTGAGAAAATTGCCCACCTACACTCACTCTCTGTTTTCTATGAACTAGCCAGTTTTTGATCCATAAAAGGACTTGTCCTTCTATCCCATGATTTTTGAGCTTACTTAGGAGCCTTTGATGAGGAACTTTATCAAAAGCTTTCTGGAAGTCAAGGTAAATAATATCTATTGGATCCCCCTTGTCCACATGTTTGTTCACCCCCTCAAAGAACACTAACAGGTTAGTGAGACAAGATCTTCCCTTACAGAAACCGTGCTGAGTCTGCCTCAATAGGTTTTGTTCATCTATGTGCCTAATTCTTTCCTTAATAATGGTTTCCACCAATTTACCCGGTATCGACGTCAGACTGACTGGCCTGTAATTTCCCGGATCTCCTCTGGAACCCTTTTTAAAGATGGGAGTGACATTAGCTACCTTCCAATCCTCAGGAATGGAGGCAGATTTTAAGGAAAGATTACATATCTTTGTCAGGAGATCTACAAGTTCACATTTGAGTTCTTTCAGAACTCTCGGATGTATGCCATCTGGGCCTGGTGATTTTTCAGTTTTTAAGTTGTCTATCAGTTTTAGGACCTCCTCTCTCGTCACCTCAATCTGACTCAGGTCTTTCAACACCCCTCCTGAAATCAGTGGTTCTGGAGTGGGCAAGCACTTCTCATCTTCCATTCTTGAAATTCTTGGGGTTTTTTGTTTGCAGGTGATGCATCCCAAGTTGTGGGGTGAAGTAAAAGGCCAGGAGGAAGCAACCTACCCCCTCCAGCCAAAACAAATTAGGGTTCTATGTTTCTGTGTGGGATTTTTGAATTAAACTTCGGATATCTAATGAGCTCATATGTCTTGGTGCATTCATTCTTACAGGAATGTTCTCGCAATGTGTTTGAAAAATAGAAAATGAGACTGGTTGCTTTTTTTTAATGTCAACTGTAATAGCAAAAATAAAGCATTAAGGCTAGTGGCACCTTAAAGGCAAACATTTATTCCAGCATATGTTTTCATGAGTCAGACTTCACTTCATCAGACTTAAAAGAAACAGTGTTAGTAGGATAGTTGCTAAGGAAGGCTGCAGAAATACAGTTAAAGTGCTGAGTAATCTATTATTTCAGATTATTTCTAGTGCCTGGTCTTTACAGACAGTAGTCAACTTCTGATTTTCCCCCCTTAGAGTAGTACTGGTGTTAGTCCCGATGAATGATCAAAGCTGACACTGTCCTTCATAAAAAATTTGCTGCAGCCGAAGAAGTAAGTGGTTGTTGGCAACTCATTCCATTGTCTGGTAGGAGATATCTGTTTCAGACCTTGCAAGAAATTATTTTTCAGAAAAGCACTTCATTTTGTTTGCGTATTTACTTCATTTATACTCTATCCCTCTCCACAACGGGGAACCAAAGCAGCTTACATCATTCTGCTCTGTTTTATCTTCACAACAGCCCTGAGAGGTAGGTTGGGTTAAGTGTGTATGACTGGTCCACAGTCACCCAGCACACTTGAGTGGCAGAGTGAGGATTTGAACTTGGATGTCTCAGATCCTAGTCAGGTGCTCTAACCACTATACCTCAAGGAAAGGTCCCTGAAATTATTGAGAGTGGAATTAATTTTATTGGTGTCCATCAGCTTCTTAGTAAAAAAATAAAAATAAACCATAAAGCTATGCAAAAAATGTATGTAGCAATAGGCCCTGAGATTCTATCCAGCATGCCCAAATGAATAGAATAATTGATGGAAGAATTGGGCACTTCTTTACTGTCAAGGTATTTTGCTTATGTATGGGGAAAACAGAAAGAAAATATAAATGCTACCCTTAAGGAA